ATATTATATATATATATATGATAACAATTAAGTGTTCAGGATATATTCAGGAAGTATTACCCTGAAACAGGGATCACATACAGCTTGGCTGGGGCATCACTGAATGTTGCAGACTTGGATCTGCTTAGCTCAGGGCATGTGTAGATTAACTGTTAACTCTACTGACTGACAGTTAGCAGAGCATGTAAATCTCAGCCCCCCAGGGATAGTACCACTACTGAAGTGCATTGAGTTGCTGTTACCAGGTGGCTCAATTAGCGTGGCAGACTGCTCAAGATGATGAATTATGAGGAAGTCCTAACTCCTATTCTGCTGTACTGCATGACCTGACCTGTGGTCCTCCCCTTTGTCCTCACTTACTTCAGTACAAGTAAGTTCTTCATCTTCCCTCATAGCAGGATGGCCTTGGCTCATTATGTGACATCAGAACAGTGTTTTGCAAGTAAGTGGGTAGCACCCATGCTATAAAACTGCCAAAGCAGCCAAAACTGTGCTGCTTTGGTGCCCTATAGGCATCTCTGCAACCTACTGTTGCCTCATGCTCAGCTGGAAACTGAAAGAAGGACAGAGTGAGGAATGCAATGACTAGTTCTTTAGGTGTGGACATAGATCCATGCCCCAGAATGTGAAAGCTAGTGGAAGAGAAATGACTCTTCTTCAGGCAAGGATAATACAGAAGCAGTGAAGGGCAGGATGCTTTAGGCCATGACATCCTTGGAACACTTACTTGGTCTAGCTACCACACCTGTGACATCGTAACATGTGTGAGACACAGGAGCTCAGTAGGACAAATCACTGCAAACAGCTCCTTGACTACACTTTTTACCAGAGCCTGAGAGCAGCAGCAGCTGTGTCAGTGCTGGTGATTTCACTGTATGCCAAGGAGATGTGGACTTCAGCTATGAGAGACTGCATTATCCTCAACTGCATGACAGGCCTGAACTTGCAGGTCTGCAAGGTAAGGTGGCTTTTATGATCATGTAGTGGTGTACTGGAAGAAAACCAGTGCAGAGCTCTCCAGAATTATACAGCACTCCTGGAAGGAAAGCTTGCTAGCCATTTGCAAAGCCCTGCTGCTAGCACTAACACTGGTGCTTCTGCAGACTGTCTGTCCATTGGGGAAGGGACTGTATTATCTGTCATGTTAGTCCTTCCAACAGCAACAAGGCAGTGAATTTAAATCAGAGTTGAGTTCAGCCAAATAAAAAGCTTCAGAACCTGGTCTTGCCCACTGAATCACTGCTTTAAACCCACTTTCCTTGCTCCAGCTCCTTGAAACATGGATGTAGGAACACGAACAGCTATTGCCTTGAAATTCAGGGGTATAAAGCGGCCCTCATGGATTGCTAAACTTTGATACCATGGTAATCTGCTAAACTGGCACTGTATAGATTAGCTAATGCTCTTGATATCTAATGGGAAAGGAGGCAGACTTGTGATGTTCCCAGCGAGAGGAATTTCCTATTTTTAGACATGCTGCTGGTTCTCATGGGATGGGCAGGCTGGGAAAGCCTTGCCACATCTTTTGCATCTTTACTTTTGCCCTTTCTGCTTTACTGTCTACTTCATTCCCTGACCATGTGTCACAGGTACCCCAGTCTGAGGGTCTTAAAACCTACTACTAGCAAAACAATAGGGGCATGAAGAACTTCCCTGTTCCCAGAAGAAACTTCAAAGTACCTCTTGGAAAACCCTCTGGAAAATTCCCTCAGGTCTTGCTTCATTCCCAAATGAAATCTGAGCAGGCTGGGAAGGTTGAACCCAGTGACAGGACGAGGAGCAATGTCCATAAACTAAAACACAAGACGTCTCACCTCAACATGAGAAGGAACTTATTTGTTGAGGGTGGCAGAGCACTGGGACAGGCTGCCCAGGGAGGTTGTGGAGTCTTCCTCTCTGGAGACATTCCAAACGTGCCTGGATGCATTCCTGTGTAACCTGCTCTAGGTGGCCCTGCATTTGCAGGGTGGTTGGACTAGATGATCTCCAGAGGCCCCTTCCAAACCTAATGATTATGTGATTCTGCAAAGCCAGGAGCACTTTGCTGTGTCAGCAGGTTTTAGTACTGTCTTCTGCCTAGAAACCACATTATTGCTCTGTCTGCCTCCAAAACCAACTTGTAATGAGGGCAGCTGGCTCACAAGCTTGATGGTAGAGGCGCCAGCCTCACCACTTTTTCCTGTTCCTCTTCCATGGGAGCTGGAAGGTGAGCACTCCCTTTCAAACACCAGCTTCTTTAAGATAAACTCAAGCCAATGCCTGGCAGCAGCCCTTCCTAAACATAAGCACCTCGGCACACTTGACTCTTTCTGCTCCCTGGGCTGGATCCCCTGCAGACAGAAACTGCTGGAGTTCTGCCAGCTTCAACAAAGCCATGTTGATCTAAATCAGATGAGGATTTTGTCCTCTAGCTATTGAATGAAAGGCCATCTGACATGGTCCACAAGGACCAGTTTCAGGTTGTCCTGGATGTAATTAGTGACGTAGCAAGATCCCACCTACCCTGTACTCTGAGCTGTTGTGATTATGTCAGTTGACTGCCAGGTTGTGACAGCCCCCTTATCTTAAGTGTAGCAGAGCAAATTCCTGGGATGGTAGGATGAGCAGAAGGCAGCTGTGCTCCATCTAGAGTTCCTGCCTCCTGGCAAAAGGGTGAAATGACCATATGCTAGTCACAGGGCCAATGCATAAGCACTTAATTGCACTAAGGGCAGAAAAGTTGTCCAGGAAAAACTTGCCCCATGTGCTGAGGCAACCCTACAAATAGATCTAGCATGCAAAAGCTTACAGAATTAGGACTCCCCTTTACCCTTCTCTGCTTATGAGGAATGTTCCCTCAGTTGTTGTTTGGAGAGGCGTTACTGGCTTGGGTTGAAGTGCACCAGTGACTTTCCTAACTTAACAGCTGTGCATCAGCATTTCTGGCATTTACTAGATGGAGTAGCTGTGGGAATCGCCGAATTGTTTAGGTTGGAAAAGACCTTTAAGATCACTGAGTCCAACTGTTAACCCAGCACTGCCAAGTCCACCCCTAAACCAGGTCCCTAAGCATCTTTTAAATACCTCAGGGATGGCAGCTCCACCACTGTCCTGGGCAGCCTGTTCCAATGCTTGACCATCCTTCTGGTGGGGAAATCCTTCCTAACATCCAATCTAAACCTCCCCTGGCACAACTTGAGGCTACTTCCTCTTGCTCTAATACTTCTCACTTGGGAGAAGAGACTGACACCCACCTTGCTACAACCTCCTGTACTGTAGAGAGTGATAAGGTCTCCCCTCAGCCTCCTTTCCTCCAGGCTAAACAACCCCAGTTACCTCAGTCATTTCTCCTAAGACTTGTGCTCTGGAGCCTTCTCCAGCTCTGTTGCCCTCCTTGGGACCAGTGTCTTTGTTGTAGTGAGGTGCCCAGAACTGAACACAGTATTCAACGTGCAGCCTCGACAGTGCTGAGCACAGGGAGGATTATATCTTCCTTACTCCCCCTAGCCAAGCTGAGATACTATTGGCCCTTTTGGCCACCTGGGCACACTTTTTGCTGAAGGGAGGAACACCTGCACACCTTTCAACCTTCTGAAGGCTTGTGCATCTTGCTACCTTTCGTAGACTGCCTGGAAGGAATTTTTATCCCCTAGCAGTGCAGAGAGCCTTCATGTGAGTTTTCAACTAACTCTAGCTGTCCTTTATAGCTTTACTGATGCTTCTTTAGCTAAGGTCCCTGTGGTGGAAAATTCCAGTAAAACAAATAAGACCTGGCTCTATACAAGGTGGTTCCTCAATTAAAAGTGAATAGGAAGTTTCCAAGAACAATTTCAATGCAAAGGAGTGTTATAGAAGTGGGAAAGGCATGAGTCATCAGAAACCGAAATATATGGGAAAGGCTTTAGAACTTGGGGTAGAGCCTATGCTGCTGAAACTTATTTGTGCATTCTTAATAGGCGGTGTGACTGAGAATTAATCTTCTCCAACCTGAATGCTGCCACTACTCCTCTTGGCTTTCTTCCAGTGAGATGATGCATAGCTACCAGCTTTGTCTAAGGAACCTGCAAGAAATGTGAACTATGCCACTATTGCCTTAGAGAGTAATAAGTGACTACAGATGTTAGGTTTAAAGTATCGAAATTTCCCCCCACTGCAGAGGGTCAGCATGAGATACTCAGAAGTTCATTAAGACGCTCTGTGCTAGTCACCAGATTCATTTAGGGTGTCCAAGATTTCCAGATTCCCCACTGCAATGAGGAACCTGGGTGCCAGTGGCTCTTAAGCCCAATCCTGTCCTGTGCTAGATCTAGGAAGACTGGACAGTGCAAGAAACCTGCCAGGAGGTCAGCTGGAAAGAAACCAGATTGATTGCCATGGGAGCCTTGCCTATGGCTCATCAGTAAGTCACTGAAAGCAAGTGTTTCTGCAAAGCAGATAGGTATTAATTGACTCTTTCTGATGGAAATCTGTTCCACTGGGAAATACTGGACTGTGACATAGGTACTGCTGACCTTGTCAGCAACCTTCCCTGAAAGCATTTACATTCTCTATAGCAGATTACCAATGTTCCTTTGGACTTGATTTGCAAAGTCATGCTGTATCTCTGAGAGGCTTCTACCAGTGTTTGTCTACAGCTTGTACAGATTGAGGTGAAACTCATATAGCATTCCTTTGTTTTTTACTATTGTCATGTGGAAGATAACTGAATTTGGGACTTACCTCTGCTAATTCTCTGTTTTTCTCCAGAAAGGATTCCTGGCGTATCAATGACACTGATGCTCTCTAACACGGGATTCGGTAGCTGGGCACAAACAAACCTGTGTGAAAATAAATGTGCTTAAAATAAAAGCAAAGGCTATTTATGATGTGCTGAACATCACAGGCAGTATGGGACAAGCCAGGCTTTCATGTCACTTGCAAGTCTTCAGTTTGAGCCTGGAGCTGTTGTTGATTTAAAGGAATGAGAGAGAAGCCAGAATTGAGTGCTTTCTCTGGCTATTTTGCTGCTTCTGGAACATGGGGCTCAGTCATGATCTGAGACAGGTTTTTTTTATGTGGCTTCCAAATTGTGAATTATTTGTGAAAATGTGGAAATCCAAATGTTTTCATTTACTGTTTAGATTTTAGCAGAAAGTGGTATTTGTTTTTCTTCACTTAAGCATTCCCCTGCAGACTCCTGAACTCAAATGAACTGAAACAAGGCTAGTTTAGAAATAAATTGACAATGTCGTAAGTTTTGTTCTCTTTCAAATCTGGTCTTCAACAGACAAAGTGTTCCGTTCTTGCCCCATGGAAATCCTAAAGCATAGGCAGCATGAGATCTCAAGAAGCTGCTTAGTCTATCCTCCTGCCTCAAGGCAGGATTAATCAGATGTTTGCATAAAGTGTTCTTCAAATCCATGACAATGCAGACTCACCATTTGCTGGGAGTCTACTACATTATTTAATTATCCTTAGAGCAAACCCTCCTCTTCTTAATGTGTAATCTAAATCTCCCATGCTACAATGTCTTTCAGTCTCAAACGCAGTAGATGTGGAAAATGATTTATTTTCCTCTCTTGTCACAATGTATGCTATTGTCAGCCTATCTTCCTTCTCTTTCCTCTGAAGAGTGGTGTTTTTTGTGGGTTTCCCCTTCATCTCTTTCAGTTCTCTGTAGCTGCCTTTCCAGCTTATTTCTAAATCCCCGAAGACCCTTGCACCTTTCCTTTGGGCCCTGAAAATGCTTCACGTATTTCTTCAGGCATGATGCCCCAATCTGACATGTTGCTCCAGCTGTGACCTTGCCAGCAGTGAACAAAGTGGATGGATTGCTCCTTATGCCTTCCACATGACAGTCCTGTTTATGTACCTCAGTAAGATGTTTGCTTTTTTAACAGCAGTGTGACACTGCTGACTTACATTCAGTTTGTAATTCACTCCTCCCCACTCTGCAGCTCTATTTCTGCATATCAGCTCTTTCGCTAGTTGTTCCCCACCTCATGTCTATGCAAATCACTGCCTATAAAGAGTAACTTGTGCTTGTTCTTAGTGGGTTGCAGCTCATCTATTTCAGTTGCTGGTAACAGTAAAGGACAGTAAAAGCCTACCCACTTACGTGGCTCCCAGTAGCATTTCATGGATAGTCTTTTTGTGATGGCATTCCAGGCAGTTATAAATGTGTGTATGTATACATGTATATTAATAGGGTGGTGTGACATCCAGGCGTAAAGACATGTTACTGCGGGAGGAAGCAGAACCACAGGATGGGGATTGGCACAAAGATGCAGTCAAGGCAGACAGAGCCCTGCAGCACTCCGAGTGGCCAGTTCTGCTGAAGTCCCTGCATCTGTGACCCCCTCCAAGCTATGCTACAAGCTCACTCCAATTTTTCTGCTTGTATGACTCCAAGAAGATTCTGACAAGACTGAACCATTATGGGTTAGATGAATAAGCTATTCAGTTATTTCAGACCACATATTACAGCCTCTGTCCTGTATCTACAGCTTGGCAGGTGGCAAAAGGGAGGATTTCTGAATGTGTAACACCTCATGTAGAAGCAGGGGGCTGGCTTGATTCTCCTGTTGAGTGCCAGGCACAGCAGCAGAGAACAAAAGGCTCTGCAGGTCATGTTATTCCCTTGTCCTGCCAGCCCAGGTTTGCTCTCCATTGCTACAGACCTGAGCATTCTTTATGGTCTAGTATTAAATGGCTCAGACAAGGGGATTTTCTACCAGTTTCTTTAGGGAAAGTACTCCATAGAAGATTTCAGATATAAGGTCAGAGGCCAGCATGAGTGAGTGCTTTCTGGCTCTGTTGGCAAGGTTAAGCCTGCTGCCTTCCTGCTGTCCAAGCAGAACTGCAGGACCTCAGGGAGCATGACCTAATTCTGTCTGGGGCCATATGAAGGGAAGAATGTGGTGCCAGAACAGACTTTCACTACCTCTATTGGCAGAGCATAGGGCTGAAAGAAGAACCTGTTATCCATGATGTCTCCTGTTGTTGACAACATAAAAGCAGGACTGATTCCACCTTAGCTTCCCAAGACAGTCTTTGGGGGTAGGAGGAATCTTGCAACCAAGCCAATGTGATACGAAAGTAATGGCTGCAATTCCTGATATTACTCCAGGGCCTTGGTGCCAAGTCAGTCCTCCTGATAATTAGGTGCAACCTGTAATCTCTCTGCTGGGATCCCTCCAGAGCTGGGGTATTGCCAGCAGAGTTGGAGTGAGGAAAACAAGCTCTTCTCACAATAGCCAGGAACCACCTGGGGCAAGGAGAGGCAAAGAAGAGACAAGGTACTGCAGAGCTGCTATCCTCTTTTCCGCCCTGGGCAGCTAGTCAGCCCTACCTCTGCCTTTAGCCAGGAAGATATTGGGCAGGCACTCCATCTCTTGGGAATGAAGGGAGGGAGGAGACAGACTCTGAGCAGCACAATTAGCTGCTGTCTCCTAGCCAAATCCTGCCAGTACCACTCTTCCCTTGCTTCCTGGAAGGCAGCAGATCTGTCTCTGCTGGGAAAGGGCGTAGCAGCAGAGGCTGGATGCTCACTCCTCCTGCTCCTCCACTTAGCTTCCCTGTAGCAGCAAGCTCTGTACCTCACAGAACACAGTGTTGTGGGCCACCACCTCTCAGTTGAGACAAGCATGGTCTGTGTGAATGCTATGGCCTTGCGCTGCTCTGTTCCTTTCCACCAGAGCCCATAGTCAATTGTTACCTTTAACCACTCACGGGTGAGGCAAACTTGCTCTCTTATCTCAGTTTAGAGGGGTGGCTCCTGGAGATTATCTCCCTTCTCCAAATTTCCTGCTCTCACAGCCTTCTAGCTGAAGTTGGTGCCTTAGCATACACATAGCAGCACCAAGATATGTGCAAGGCAGAGACATTTTTGCACTGTCTCTTGCCAAGAAGCCAGGCCCACAACAGGAGTTAAGTCTGGTGGCTTGATCCAGTCCAGTGCATGCACCCTGTCCTACAGCTGCTAAATTTCTGGCTCTCTGATTCAATTCTTCCATGCACTTAGTTTCTGAATTAGCTGGACATTACCATCTCCATCTTCAGTGCTGTGATGAGCTGGTCTCCCTTAGTATGTCTTCCTCTGCTAGTTTAGAAACTGTTACCCCCCCTTTTTCTATGTGTCAGAAGAAAAGGTGCTAATTAGCTGTTGTGGCTACTCCCTGCATTAGCAAGCACGACTGCACTTCGTTGAATCACTGCTGTGTCCCTCTGCCCTGCTGTCCTCACAGGAGAAGGAATAGGAGAGTAACAAGACCACAGTATGACAGAGTGAACTAGGCTAATGGATGCAGAGATCCCTTGCTGTATTAGGAGCAAACTGTATTCAGGAACCATCAATCAGTCCAGTTCAGGAATGTCTGCTTTTTTTACCTTTCATGTCTGGCCTCCTTACTCCTAATGTTGCTTCTCCTCTCAATGAACTGTCTGCTAGCTGTGGCTGCTCCTGGCTATCAGCTGAGCTGCTCTGAATGATGTTCTCTTCATCACTATCTCTGCACTCCATGTAGGAGGCCTGTTATTTTCTTAGGGCAAACCACCTTCCTCTCCTGGTGTGTTGGGGGGGGCAGTCACCTGACCTAACTGTTGGCCAGATGTGGGTGTTCTGGGTCCTATCACATATTGAAAAGTCTCTCTGGTGCAAACCATGTTCATGTATTTGAATTATGAGCCTGTGTTATGATCAGAGATTGCTTTCTGAGGCACTGTGATGTTCTCTGTATAGTAGTGACTCCAGCTAGGTCTCTCTCCTCTCATCAAGCTTCTCTCCAGGCTCCTTCCCTGCCCCGCTGCAGCCTGCAACACTGCTGTTGTCAATGCTGGTTGGAGATGCTGCACTCTCTGGATAGACTCTCTCTAAGCTTGGAAGTTAGAAAAGGAGCCAAAGCCCAGCTTTCCTGGTTGGTTGACTGAGCAGCTGCCATGTTTGCAATGTCTCCCACACTGTGTTAGCAGGGAAGGCATTGATGAGGGGCGTAGTCAGTTTGTTCCCATCTGCCTGCTGTAGCACAGCCCGTGCTCATCTAGGATATGGGTGTGTGCTGCTGGCTTCCTGCAAGGCCTAGATCCAAAACTCAGGATGGTTGGGCTAGGTCTAGGGAATGGAAAGGTTACATTCATCATGTTGCAGAGCCACTGTTCAAGCCCCTGCCTATGGGTTTTGTTTCTTTACGGGAAAGGCATTAGAGGTGACATCAGTTTGCACCTAAGGTTATATGTACAAGGCATCAGAATGGAGAGGGCCCAGGTTTGTTCCAAGGGGACATTCAAGCAATGTTTAAAAACTAAAAAAGCAAAGGTGTGCATTTTGTGCCAATTCCACTTCTCTCCTGACTTCAGAGGCTGTGACTGGTTGGACTGTTTAGTTTCAGGGAGCTGAACTGACTGCAGAGTGGAAGAAGCCAGGGATATAAAAGTAAGGTAGAGCAAAGTGTACTGAAGAAATTTACCTCTTGACTCCTGCAGAATGAGCTTAACAGGCTGTGCTGTAGTTTTGGTTTTGTTAGTTAAAGTAAAATGAAGGTTCATCTCACTTGAATTGTTAATCTGTAGTGAGTAACTTAGGTGCACCTGGTAGTACTGGAATGGCTTTGCATCAGCTATGCAGATGGGGGAAAAGGAATAGTGTAACACCTTATCCCTTTAAATTGCTAGCTACGGCTTAGTAGGTTCTAGGTTTATTCTCCAGAACAACTAAATTCTTGAGTACTGACCTGTTCAAAAAGGCATTGCCAAAGGCATTGAGTTTCCTGAAAGGTTTTTTGGGATCCACCACCAACGCGTTTCCAGGAACGATTCCTTCCACATCTCCTTGCATAACTGCTATAAAGGAGTCAGTTGTAGGCTCTGGTCCAATCCTCATACCTGGGAAATCCTGCTCCAGCAGGTACCTGTAGGTAAAAAAACAAGGTGTGGGCATGAGACATGAGTTGCCTAAGTTCTAAGTGAGTTGTACTGAGGATTGCAGTGTAATTATGAAGCTCGAGAGTATGGATCCTTCTGAAGCTATTTTTAGCACTGTCACTGAATTATTTGATAAATGTCATGGTAGCTTTTCTACTCAGGACCTCCTCATTTAAAGCTTTCTTACTTCAGGTGGATTAAGAAATTGAGATGATTATAGCTGCTGGGAAAAGTCTCATCATGTTTGATCATTCTGTGTATTTTAATCCTCAAGACATTTGGAACAGACTTAGCACAGCGAAGTAAAACCAGCAGTTCACTGCAATCAGAGTTAATCCTGAAACCTTACTGGCCTTCAGTGCCAATATCAATTACTCCACTGCTGCTCATTTCGGCCAACTCATCCAACTAATGTGCTTAGCCCCCCATCCAAGCCAGTTGCTCATATGCCAGCTTCTCCTGTACTTGACTGTTGAAGACTTAAATCTCCCTATATGTTTCTGCAATGCAGCTACAGGTCTGCATTACAAACTCCTCAATCATATTGAGCATAAGCATGTGGGTGGCAGCATATATCCCAATGTTTGTTATCAACCTCAATACAACAGTAGAGTACAGAATCCCCTTATGATTTTCTCAGCCTCTGGCAGCTTCTCTGAAGGTACAGTTTGGCAAATTTCAGGGAATGGTGCTGTAGGACTATGAATATGATGCTGGCAACACTTACCCTGCTAAGTTCAGGGTGGGTCAGTGGTGTGCATAGATACAGTTCCCCTTGGCTCATGAAGGAGCCAAATGCCATCACTGAGGCCAGGTCTGTGCTTGTGGGTGCAGAAAGCATCCTGCATGCTGGTCCTGTCCTGAAAACTAAGACCACTGTGTGCATATGGCTTGCAAAAGGTAGGCCTCAGTACTGAATAGTGCTGGACCACCTGACCTGGTGATAAGCTCTGGGTTGTTACATGAAGAACATAATGATTGCCAGTTATGAAAGTTCATATTCTGCTGTGTTGCTGCTTGTCAGCAGTGAGCTGATGCTTCTGTTGCTTTGACCTAATCTTTAGTAGGTAGAAAGATACAGAATCCCTGTGATGTTAAAAGTACATTCAGGAAAGGGGGGAAAAGCAAATGGTAGAAGGGCTGAGGGTTTTTCATGATTGAGACCAGTATGTTTATCAACCAGCACTGGTTCACCCAGGTGAGTCTTATCAGAGAGGGGAGGTTCCTGTGTGAGGGACTACGGGACCACTGGCATGTAGGCTTGTGATAACTTTCTGGGGGCTCCTGTTTTCATCATCATTTTAACAGACATAATCACCATCAGTGCTTAAGAACAACAAAA